ATATTATTATATGTCGTATAGGTCCCATTGGAACAACCAAATGGACCCCTTCTGAGACCTTCCTTAACAAGGTCAAAGAATCAGAGATTCTACTCTCTACCCAATTGAACGTTAAGTAGTTCAAAGGCAACACAGCACTTGAAGTCTGTGCACAAGAAATACAATCTACTAATGACACTACTGTTAAGAAGCGTCAGTCTCTATCTAGGACTCTGTTTAATAACATAAAGTCCAAGCCCGAGGTCTTTCAACCCCTATTTCTAAAAGGATTAATGAATGACAATCCTGAAGCGTATACACATACAATGTGACTATTGTATAAGTCAAGTGTATCTAATGCACATGAGCGCACTTATGACACTCATGCGAAAGCAGGACAGGAGTCTGGAAACACTACAGACTTAGAGACCACGCAAGTGGATTCTCAACACCCTACCTTTCTTCTGGAGGAGCAGAATGATGAAAACATTCTTGTTTGGCTGACGCAAAACCATAAGCTGAAGCACCAGAACGTAGTAGACGCACTTAAAGATGCTAAGCGAAATGGGATCGCGCACCCTAAGCTGGCAACTTTAGTTGACAGAGTATATCAGTCATGTACAGACTATGATCTCAATCAGATCAAGCGCTATGGGTTCGCACCGCTTAAGAGTGTGACTGAAGATGTTCCATGGCGCAAGGACATCATTGGTCTGGTTGACCTGCCCACGTCCGAGCACACAGGCAACCGTTACGTATGCAAATTCTTTGATGTGGCGTCACGGTTTAACTTGCTCTATCCATTAAAGAATAAGAATACGCAGACCGTGGCAGAATTATGTTGCCAAGTCTTTGCTGACCACGGGTGGCCGGGTATTATGTACACTGATAACGGTAGTGAGTTCTGCGATGACGTAATAGAATCGCTAGTACTCGTATCAGGCATATGTCATAAGAGAGGTGTGCTATATAAGCCGCAAACGCAAGGCGCGAATGAAACGCGCCATAGAAGACTTAAGTTCTTCTTGCGTACTGCATTAACGGATGATGCAGATGATTGGCCGTACCACCTTAAATGGGTACAAACACAGATGAACGAGTGTGCTGATCCGGTTACAGGAACTACACCCGCTCACTATTTTCGTGGCCGATATAGAGTGAGTTACAAATCCCTTTAAACAAGGACGAACCCGATCACCATGAGTTACCATGGTTAGAGAAGGTCCAACGTATTTATAACGTTGTATATCCTTGCTTGCGAGAAATACGCAATATAGCCTTATTAAAAAGGCAAAAGCGTTGGAACACTACCAAGAAGATAGCAGAGTATCAGGTTGGTGACAGAGTTAACATCCGTCAACGTAATTCCGATGCTACTGTATTAACATCTAAATGGATAGATCCATATATAATCTCTGTAGCAGACACTAAAAGTGGAACGTACGAGGTAAATAACCCCGATGGTTCTAGTGCGCTTAATATAGGCACAAGTCGTATTCCGACTACAGAGATTATACTCGCAAGAAGACATGACTCTAATGCCCCTCTTGATCGTTCTGAATTTAAAGACATTATATGGAGAACGGATAAGGGAGGCTATACATACTATCGTACACGCTTTATAGACGGTACAATAGATGAGTTGACTTCAGATGCTTTCGATATCCAAGACTATTTAAAAGCCTTTAATCGAAAATGGCGTAAACGCCTGCATAAGTCACAAGCTGAAAAAGATAGCATGTTTCCATCGTCTGAAGGCACGGAAGTTAAAACTTCTCCGCCTACAGCATTTATCCCGAGCTTTAATGCTCATCCTTCATATGTGCTTAAGACACTGAAGCGTAAGAAACGTCCAGTCGACCACCACGGACCTATTGGACCTAAGCCCAAAACTCACAGGGTAACCGAGAACGCTTAACTTCTCCGCCTGAGAAACATTAATGACGAGGCCATTAAAAGGCCCCAGTAAAATACCAAACATAAGAGTTGGTCTAGTTCTATTAATAGAACTATATTTACTTTCCAACTTTATTTATATCTGAATACTTCGGTAGCGAGATGGCTCAACCGAATATAGGTTTCTAGGGACTATTAACGTTACCTAGTTGATCCTCCGATCAGCCAACCAGATGTGCCAGTCTGATGAAGGCTAAGTCGGTAATTCTTGATAAGTGGCAGGTTATTGGTTAAGACAATAACTAAGGACATCAAGAGTATTTTTATATTTTTATTTATTTTTTCTAAAGATAGGATTTTATGAGTCTCTCAGATTCGCCCCAATGAAACATACCATAGTTTCGAATAGAGCGACAACGAAACACTAAATAAAATCCATTCGGCGGAAACAGTACTGAGAGAATTATATAAAGGCAATGTCTCAGCCTCACAATCCCTCAGAGTATTGCTGTTTTCACGAGGCATACCTAACTTTACTAAAAGTCTCATTTCGTTTATTTACTTTGATATTTTCACGATACTTATAATTTACCTACGCGTTTATTTACCCAAAGGCGTTAATATCGCCTTAGAATCTTACAGCATCATATACCAGGCCCGCCAGTATCCCAAGCCAATCAGCCCGTTTCGTTCTGTGACAGCCTCCGGCGCGGTATCATCTTTATAGTGTATGGTATCCTGTCGAATGAATACCTGTTTGGTCAGTACGCAGCTTTTGAGCGCGCGATACAGGGCGAAAGCATGGTTGCTTACTAGTCTGAGAACTACGACTATGCCAAATGACATCGTATGATACAATGGTAATACAACACTGTGTAGCACGGCAATCAGTCGCGCGTCAGTGAACGACCTGTATGAATTGGTAAACTATGTGCCGACAATTGACAAACCCGTTCACACTTGTGCAGATAACTCACAAGTGTCATGCACAAGCGCGATGTCAAAAAGATGCTGTCCATGAACAACAGGATGTGTACCGAATTGTTACCTACACGCTACAGTCACTGTGAGAATCACTGCATCACAACAACAACACCATGAACACGTACCACGACGCCAGGCAGATCCTGAATCCAAAGGGTGTGCAAACCCACACGATGTGGCCGCTGTTGTGCTGGAGTCGTGTAAGAAGCACTGGATGAAACTTTACATGTACTTAAAGTTGATCACGCGTGGCAAGCGGTTCACGCTCACGGACTGCAGGGTGAATATAGTCATGTCGCCCATGCAGTACCTCGCAGACGTTTCGTGACTCAAATGATTAAATAAAATTCGAGAGAAAAATAAACTTTGAAAGCTTGGAAAATTGGTTTTTGGCTGGCGCAAAAGGCCTAAAATACGCGCGCATTTATGGCGGAATAATGAATGTCAATGCACGCATGTACAAATTTCTGCAACCTGTCTATTCTCTCAATATTAAATGTGGTTATTAATTAAGCTTTTCTTTTTATTAATGCGCGCGTCGTTCCGGCAATATACATCTATGGTATGTTGACTGGTACATCATGTGGACAAAGTGGACTTTCACTCGATACTGATCATCCGTCAGTTTGCCGCCAAAATCTGATTCCTCGTTTTGTATTTAATTAGAGGATTTCATGGTGAATAATGGACTAGTAGAACTCGGCCCAAATGATATCTTGAAGACGGAATAGATATGCAGGATATATTTTCACATCCAGAACGAACTAGTCGACAATAAATATGGCAGTAACCTGATCCAACTCGGAACTATTGACGAAGTACTCGTACCTTCATGTCTTAAGCGTATCCTAGTTTCACTGCAATCATTTCTATTGCGAAGTATTGTTAATTTCCGTTGTCCATCAAGGTTATATCTGTACAAAGCTACAAGACAGAATTAGATAAGTATATGTTTTTTTCGGTTAACAACGTGTCGTGTTCCATGCTAAAAAGTTAAGTGACCCAGACTTGCGGGATTATTGACCAAGGATTTGAGAAACAGCATAAAAGAATGTTTTCTCATTATGAACAAACGAGTGTCAATATTTCCATGGTTAATCCAATCTTACATTGCTGCACAGTAGTTTATATGTAAGAATATCAATAATTTCTTATATGGGCCATACAGCCTTTACATTGAGATGATGTAATTGAGAGCTGCATACGTAGATTAATCGAGAAAAACAATCATAGTAATAGATACAAAGCTGGCAATGTTTTACTTATCGAGAGAAATTCTGCTTAAATAACGTAAATTGAAGTGATCAACCGACAACTGAACCAAGTATGGAATCAAAGAACCGTAATTGACATGAGAGAGAAAAAAAAATTGATATTCGCAGCATCTAAGTTGTATCTAATTGCCTCCAGATGAGACAAGACTACGCGCAAGTGGTGGATAGTGCCAACATCTGAAAGTTATTTGTTTATTGCATGGTTAGTGGTATGAGCAATAAAAGAGACGTATATTGTCGTATCTAACTTTCTGTAATAAGCCATAAGTGAGAGACTATAGGTCTCAGGCCAGATTTTACAGGAAGGAACCCTTTTTGAATTATAGAAGTCATCAGAATTTGCTTACTTCCGAGAGCTAATTAAATCACTTAAATTGCTCACGAAAGTTGAGTTAATACTTAACCGACTCCCGAGAGCAGCTTAAGTTTCTCAACCGACTCCAGAGAGTGGACTAAGTCTGCTAACCGCAACAAAATATCTGTGGCTCTATGTGAGTCACAACCTATGCGAAAGGCATCATGTGATCAGCGTGAGATATAGTTGTAGAGAAGTCGAAATAAAATAGCATCGAATTATTAAAGTGTTCTGTAGAAGGTTTCTCATGCTGACCAGAAGAGTGTTTACCCTAGCCAGCCCAAGCGGCTGAACACTAGCACAAACATCTTAGGTATAAAACCAACTGTGAGGCCAGAAAAAAATATATACATTTGCACATTATTTTAAGCCTACTACATTGCACTCTAACAATAAGCCGTCAATGTGCTAGTGCC